CAGAAAGCTAGAGGGTGAGAGAGAGCAAGATGGATCTTGCTTTTATAACAAATCTGCTGTTGACAAGGGGCATGAACCCAGTCCTGAGGCTCAGCCCTCAGTATCTTATCTGTTTGAAGATGTCATACCTCTCAGCAGCATTGCGCCAGGGGACAAACTCAAGCCACAGCACCTTTTCTGCGTCACCTTCTTCCTTAGCACTCATCACCATTGCCACCTGTGTATTTTCCCCTTGGCATCTGTTTGCTGCATTGTCAGTCTTCATAAACAGAATGTCAGCTCAGCCAAGGGCAGGGATCGGATCTGCGCCTTTGCTGTTATAGCTCCAGCGCTGAAAGATGTCAAGCGTGAAGCAGAGGCTCCAAATAGACCGCTGAATTAAAGGTACAGAGCACTTCAAACTGGACCTGTAATCCCAGTGTGTAATCCCAGCCGCCAGGAACGCAGAGGCAGGAAGATTACAAGATTTTAAGGCCAGCCTGGGCTATATGGAGAATCTAAGGCCAGTCTAGGTAATTTAAGACATACCTGTATCAAAAGAATAATAAACCAGGCACGGTGTGGCACATGCTTTTGATCCCAGCACTCGGGAGGCAGAAGCAGGAGGATTTCTGTGAATTTGAGGGCAAGCCTGGTCCACACAGTCAGTTTCAGGCCAACCAGGACTACATAGTGATATCCCATTAATGGATGGATGGATGGATGGATGGATGGATGGATGGATGAGTAGGTAGAGAAAGGGTTGAAGATGCAGCTTAGTTGGCACCAGAACAGTGGTGGGGATTTGATGAACATTTCCGTATTTTATTTATAACAATTCTGTGGTGGGGTGCGCAATGCCATCATTTTACTAATGGGGAAACCTGTAGGTCCTAGTTTTTCAAATTCTACTTTATTTGGGGGGTTCCTTAGAGCTTACACCTCCCTTCCAACCCTCCAACCCCAGGTAGGGGAAAAAGGATGGGAAGGGGAAATAGCCTTCTTTACTTTTTCCTGCTGGGTAGGGTCATAAGGCTTCTTTTGGGGGCAATACCAATCAATATTTGTCATCAGGTTATGTCCAGGTAACCAGAAAACCAGCAAGCAATCCTCCATCTCCTCCAAGCTACCGCGCCTTCTTCCTTTGGGCTGTCATATTTATACCCCTCAAATTCCTCAGCATTCAACTAATTCCAGCTGGCAAAGACCACGCTCCACACAAGACAATGAACAGGTGTGGACAAAGTGAAATTCCCCCACTTGGGATTATAACAAAAACGAGTTTACATCCGCAAAGGAAACTCCTCACAGGGTGATTTCAGGACGATCTAGGCCATGGAGTTAACCTCAAAGACAATACAAACCACGTGATCCTGGGTCAGGAGACTTCTACAGCACTGCTTTTCGGTACCCCAAAGCTGAGCGTGGCCTTCAGTCGCCTCTGGTACAGAAAATAAGCACAGACATCAACAAGAGGAGGTTGTCCCCGGATTTATTTTTATTCCATATTTTTAACCGAACCGAGTCACTAATATAAAAGAAGCGCCCTTCTGTCTTACTCTTAAAAAATCCTTGTTACATCGTCTCTTTATCTGTCTTGGTCCCTCTTTCTCTCTGTGTATGCTGTACATACGTGTGTGTGTGTGTGTGTGTGTGTACAAGTGTGTATTTGTGTGTGTGGAGGCCAGAGGTTGGTAGCAGGTGTTTTCCTTGAGCACTCTCCACCCTCGCTGTGAGACAGGGGTCTCTTACTAAACCTGGAAGTCACCAAGGAGATCCCAGGATCCCCCTGTGCGTGACCCTCAGCGCACATTACAGATGCACACTGCCGAGCCTGCTTTGACGTGGATGTTAGGGACAAACTCGGGTCCTCGCCTTGGGTGGCAGGCCCTTTGCTGACTGGGCCATCTCCCCAGCCCTATGCTCTTGCTGTTGATTGTTTGTTGGAAGCAGGGCCTCACTGTACAGCCCTGGTTGGCCTGACACTCACAGAGATCCTCTTGCCTCTGCCTCTGGAGTGTTGGGATTAGATTAGAGTCGTGTGCCATCACACCCAGCAGTCTTTAACACCTTAAACTACTTCTTGCCAGGCATTTAGTTACTTCCAGAAAGATAATGAATACGATGGGACAGACATTTTACAGTTTATCTGGCCTTATGTAAATTACCCTTGATGACATGGGTGAGCTGCATTCAGTCTTTGAGAGACTTGAGAGCAAATATTGATGTTTCTGAGAGACGAGAATCTGTCCCAAGATTGCAGCATCAGATCTGAGTGTGTCTTGTCTGTCAGCCTGCCCTACAGATTTCAGTCTTGCTAGCTTCACAGGCATGTGAGCCATTGACTGAAAAAACAAAGGCAAAAATTCCCTTTTATGTGTTTGTGTGTTATTCACACATAAACATAACACACACACACACACACGTGTGCACATATATGTGTACATAGGGGCTTATGCCCCAACAGCTTCCATTTAATGTTGTAGATGCATTGACAACACCTTTCCTGAGCACCCTAGGTCAGCAACACACTAGAAGACAAGCTAGCCATCCTCAGGTGACTACCGGGAGCAAAAGTGTAGGTTGCTTTTCAGAGAAAAAAAAAAAAAAAAAAAAAAAAAAGTTCCTGGGCATATCAGGAATGCGGGAAAAGAACAAATTCGAAATCAGAACTCTTGATTCCTACTGAATGCCGTTGTGCGCGCACCGTTGTAAAACGAGAAAGCTATGAGTCGAGAGCCATCTGGTGTGTGTGAGCGGCCTGCATACACATGTCTCCTGCTTCTTTTTCTGTGGAGAACACCCACCACTATGGACCCTTCCTGGATAATGAGCCTTCTGGTCTGATCTGTCCAGGATTCTATAGTTCACTAAGTGGTAGAGGGGGTAGGCTCCAATGGGTCTGACGCCAGAATTCCTGAGGGTAAAACTGCCTGGCAGAATGTATTACTCCATGTCTGGTCATGGGTGTCTTGACTGAGCGTAGCGTTGTCCTTCAGACTGGGATAGCCCACCACAGCAAACATCCAATCAAAACTGGATATTTTGCCCTTTGTATCAGTGGACAGCTGATACATACTAGAATGGGTTGCTCACATAATTTAGAATTTCCCTCAGGAAATACTCAAAAAGTCTTTGGTAATTGTGGGAGTTCAAGTTGTTTGTGTCGGTGCTTTGTTGGAGTCTTTACCTTTTGGGTGTATTTTTGGACATATTTACCTTATTAACTTTCGTTGGATATATTTACCTTTTTTGAGAGAACAAGTTGGAATTCACATTTCTAGCTCAAGAACTACTCAAATCATACTGTAAGTTATGACCAGCTAACAACCACTTTTGATCTACAATCTGTGACAAGCTCCTGAGAATCACCTTGAAATTATTTTCCTGGCATCTGTACAAACTGACATGGGTCACTGCGAACATCAATTATTCTGTCATCGCATGCTTCTCCCTTGGTTCAGTGAACGCCTGGTGTAGCATTTCACAGACTCAAGGCAATTGTCCTCATCAGAGAACTGGATCTCCAGGGTGTCCCAGCCATAACAGATAGTCATAGATATTTTACTGGAGGAACGGAAATGCTCGTAGCCACCGAATAACCAGCGACAGAACTACCAAACCCACCAGCCTGGTTACTATACATAAACTCTTCCACAGATTAACTTTGTGAGTTATCAGTTCTCTTTTATTTATATAGATTAAGTTCAGTTTTGTCAGCATAGAAACCAATAAGGCTATACCAGTTGAACCGTGTCTAAATCGGTGTTGAGTTCAAAGTGTTTGTATAGTGAGTTGTGTCTTACCAGGTAGTTACAGGCCTGAACCTCTGTCTTGAGTGACTCATGGAACACAGAAGCTGTCTGGTGGAAACTGATATTTGAAAAGACACTTACAGTAAAAGCCACAGGCTCATCCTCCTGCCTCCGCCCCTAGAGTGCTGTGATTACAGCCGTGTGTTGACACAAAGCCACAGCTCTTATCTCAAAGGACATGAGAGATAATTTATTATGAAACCAAATATAAGTGGGCATGGGGCCAGGGAACATGGATTCAGGTCGCCTCCAATAATATATTCCAACACGGTGGAAACAGTATCATGAAGTTTTTATAGTACTAGAACAAAGGGACTCATACATCGGGGTATTTGAAAAATACATCTGTGGAAATACCAGGTAGGCGGGTTATATAGTAAGGCAGAAAAAAAAAAAAACACATTTTTTTGATGGGCCTAAGATGCTACTTAATGACATTCTTAGCTTTGGGGGCAGTGGAAACTCGGGGTCAGTTTGCACATCCCAAGGAGATTCACTGAATTGTAGATAATAAGCGACTAGTAACAAGCTACGCTCTCAGATCCGGCTTCAGACCTGCTGTTTCCAGCTCCTCAGCCTCGCAGACTTTCTCACCCAGCAATCACCACTGTGGAATCTTTAACGCAGGGGAGGCTTGTTTTTTTTTTTTTTTTTCTTGGAGCTTCAGTTCACAGGTGTCTTAGCACCCCAGGCAATGGAGGATTCCTCTGGACTTACAGATTTGTCAGCTGAGCTCTGGAAAAGCCTGCAGTGCAACAGAACACTTGCTGCATTTCATACACTGCCCTCTAGGGTTCTGCTCTGAAGCTACCTACACAGCCTCTTGATGTTGTCTGTAGCTGCGTGAAATTCCCCAACAGAGGAAAAGGAAAAGGCTAAGAACGAGAACAGGATCCTCAGCCAGTAAGCTAAGGGAAGTCAGGCCATCGTATCGCAGCCCTCCAGCTTGACGATTTGTTCATTTGGAGGACTCACACTCATAGCCCATGTGGTATGTCTGGTTCTGAAATGTTCTGCATCTATCATTCTGAACCTATCATTTGCACATGATAATTTCCTCCATGTACCCTTACACTCACTCTAGTCTTGTATGTGCCATGTTTGTCGCACACACACACTGAAGCATCTAAACAATCGGTAGTTGCCCTTCAGCACATATTTTTTGCATGCAATCTATCATCGTGGTGTGTGTAACCCAGAGTCCTTCTACAAGTCCTCATTGTCAAAGCTGAAGGGCTGCCCTGTCCTCTCCAAGTAACCCATCACAGAGCCCACCCCAGATAGACACACATCCCATGCCTCTGCTCCATCTGTCCTGGAGGCATCTGTCTCTTGAGGAAAAGCCACAGTGGGTCTGGCGCCCTGGCAATCTCCAGAGACCTTCACACGAGTTCTCCCTGAAGGAGAGGCTGCCTGAATGTCTCCTTCCGGAGAGGCTAAGGCTTGTGGACAGATGAGCCTTGGGAGGTTTTCAGAAGCACAGGTGCAGCTGGCCAGGCTGCTAACCTCCTGCATTCCGTCACCGTGTTTCAGAGCAGGGTGCTGGTAGGCCTGGTAAGCCACTGTGGTGGTGATCACTGTCTGCAGGGCCTGGGTACCTGCTGATGGGGTCGGCAGGTACCTGCAGGGCAGCTCTGGGTTGTAGTAAGGGCATGTGGTCACAGCCTGGCATTGCCCGTAATCAACCCTCTCCTCAAGGCTGGGTTTCCCGTGCGTAGGTTTCCAGCCATGATATTTGGCTGTGAAATCCAAGCTTGCCTCATATGAGCTGACATTATACTGGAGTGAGTTTAGATGGACCCAGTCTGTGTCATCAGGGATACTGGAGGACTCTCTATACAGGATGGGATATGAACTTGAACCCGTAACCCCAGGACCTGCCAATTCATAGCTCCAAGGGGGCCTGGGAAAATAGATGTTTGGACTTGAATATTTCTGAAATGGCAGCATTACATCTCCTTGAAAGGTGGCCAGGTCACAGGGAACACTGTGAATGTCAGAGTTTGGAATGGAAGGGCAGGGCTGTCCCATGACAGGGAAGCCGGTATCAGCAGTCATATCAAACAGTTCTGTGGGTTCCAGGGCAGACATGCTATTGAGGTGTCCACAGCTGTCCTGAGCACTTCCTGCCTAAAAAAAAGTCACAAATACAGACATAGGGCACACAACACATACCATAACACAATCTGTAAATGATGTGAACATCTTCACTAACAGCAACAATCCATCACATAAATAAAATACAGTTCTGTGTAGTGAGCCATGGCTTGCTGAGGTTTACAGTTTGGGCCTGGGGTCCAGAGGTTGCTGATGGATGCACTGACCAAGGAAGGTCCTCAGTAGCCAGGCAGGGTGGGTCTGACCAGCTGAGGTAGCTGTTCTCATCCATGTGCTTCTAATATGGAGGCTCGGGAGCTGCTTAGACCTACCTTCAAGTCCTGCCCTTAGCCCTACCAACCAACCGGGTGCTTTGCCCCTCTGGATCATGGATCAGCATTTTAAACACAGGGATTAGCTGCAGCTAGTCCTTCAGAGCATTTCTGGAATGCACGAACTCTTATATCAGCACTTGGCACTTGGAAAGGAACTGCTCTGCTCATGCTCTCTGCCTACTAGGCACGTTTTGGTGGAGAATGCAAATTTGGTCAAGTTGCCTAAGAAAAACTTGTCCATTCCTTCATAAACTCTGTTGCTAGTGCTTGAATTTTGAGTGTCCCCCAACGGTTCCTGCGTTTAGGCTCAGTCCCCAGTATGATGCCATCAGGGGATGGTGGATTCTTTTTTTTTTTTTTTTTTTTTTTTTTTTTCTTTTTTCTGTTTTGTTTTTTGCAAGACAAGATTTCTCTGTGTAGCCCTGACTGTCCTGGCACTCCCTTTGTAGACCAGGCTGGCCTTGAACTCTCCTACCTCTGCCCCACAGGTGCAGCAAACATCCTAACATAATCACCTCTAGGGATCATTCACCTATTTTAAAGAAGGTATGAGAGCCCTGAAATGATGATGACTTTTGTTAGAGATACGTAATTTTCACATGACATTAAACCTTTGTGGTTGATACATGGCACTCATCTTTCAGTTGGCTATCCTGTAAGTGAACACAGATCTCTGGGTGGTGTCAGCCATTACCTCAGGCTCTGCAGATCTCCTTTTCAGGGGTTGGTAAAAAGAGGCCATCTGTCTCTTGAGGGCACTTCTTCTGCCTTCTGTCTCTGCCTTACTCTCTGGTCTGGGATGATCATGAACTCCTTTGGCCTGTGTTAATGAAGAAATTGAATTGTCTATCAATTTCTCTAGAAAGAAAAGCCAGCTCTTCTGAGAGTTGGTCCGAACAAGACTGTGCCTTTTCAGACTGCCAAGTTATTGTTGTTGTTTTAAATTTTTCCTCAAAATGACAAGGTGTTGTTCAAAATAAAACAGCACCATGGCAAATATCTTAGCGGGGTATGATAGTCTATGCCTGATATCCAGTATTTGGCAGGGTGAGGCAGGAGGGTCAGAGTGTGTAGAAACCATCCTGGCTTACATAGTGAGTTCCAGGCTATCCTGGGCTACATATCAGGACCCTGTTTCTCAAAGAAAACAAAAAGCCAACAAGGACAACAGATATCTTAAAAGGTAGCTTGCAAACCAAGTATTCTCTCAAACAAATGTAACTGGGTCCACACTTCTGGCCCTTAAAGAGTACACTGAGCCATCCAAGGTGGCACACAGCTGTAACTCCAGCACTCAGTGGGCTAAAGCAGGAGGATTGTGAGTTCAAGGCCAGCTTGGACTGCCTAGCAAGTTCCAGGTCAGACTGCGTTGTACAGCCAGACCCTGTCTGGGAAACAACAAAATCTAGCCAAACAGCTCATCACTTGATTTCTAGGAACCAGAGCACCTACAGGGAGTCTGTGATTTAATTTCCAGGACAGATGGTAGGGGCTTTGCTCCACGTGGTATGACAGAAATACTCAATACAAATGATGTTCTGAACCCACTGTACAGGCTGGTTTTGTGTGTCACCTTGACACAAGCTGTGTCATCATAGAAGGAGAAAAGAGACTCAGTTGAGAAAATGCCTCCATGAGATCCAGCTGAAGGCATTTTCTTGGTTAGTGATCAAAGGTGGAGGGCCCAGCCTGTTGTGGGTGGTTTCCTCCCTGGGCTGGTGGTCCTGGGTTCTACAAGAAAACAGGCTGAGCAAGCCAGGGGAAGCAAGCTAGTGACCAGCTCTTGCCTGGAGGTTCCTGCCCTGCTTGAGTTCCTGTCCTGACTTCCTTTAGTGGTGAACGGCAATGTGGAAGTGTGAGCCAAATACCCCCCGCCCCACAACTTGCCTTTTGGTCATGGTGTTTCACCACAACAATAGAAACCCCGACTAAGACGTCCACTTACCTGAAAAAATATTGCGTTGCCATCAAGTCGCCAAAAGTTGGTGACGGGGTATCCACTCTGTCCTCGGCAAGGAACCAACTCCAAAGCTGAATGACAGTTGGGACAAGCTTTCTCTGCAAACCCCAGAGAGAGAAATGTTAAGCTGAACCTGCAGCCTAGAACAGTCTGAAGGAAGCTCAGGGGACGTCATCCGGGAACAGGAAACCCAGGGCTCCAAAGCCACCCTTCCCCAACTGTAGCTGTCCCGCCGCCCTCACTCTGTTGTTTCAGTCGGGCCTTGTCGCAGATGGCTGGCCTCAGCTGCAGGTGCGAGCCGTCCTGCAGCGCGCAGGCGCGTGCGCACACCACCACGCCCAGGCAGGACTTCTTGAGGATGTGGCCATTGTGGTTGTTGGTGTTGCGCATGGCCCAGCCGCTCAGGTGGCGCTGAGCCTTCTTCTCCTGGCTGCTGTAGATGAGGCGCACATAACCATCAGGCCACTCCTGGAAGCGGTCAAAGTGGGTTGGTTCCTAGGAAAAGATGGCGGACAGAATAGGGTTTTAGATGACGGAGCCCGGATCAGAGGCACCCTGACTTTAACTTCTTCTATGACCTGGAAGACAAAGCGGGGTAGCTTCTGATACCCCCAAATTATTCTAGTATACAAAATCAATCGTCAGCCACATGCCTGACAGATCCTAAATAATGCGTGTCTATAAGGTGTTGATGTCTACACAGTTTCTAAGTAACAAATGCATATTAATATACCTAGCCTTCACACTACCTGTGGGCAGTCGGGACAATCATCAGGCCCATCTCATAGAATAGGATATCAGAGACTTCAACTGACTTGGCAAAGTTCACACAGCTGCCAGGGCCTGGCTATGGGCTGTTTGACCTGTAGCTGACTCAGAGCCTGGGTTTCTTGTGGCTGACATTCTAATTTCTTGGTGCGTTTAGATGCTGAAAGCATTTTCAAGTCTTCTGAGAGCTAGGGCTGAAAGTGGTCAGGATATGTTCTCACTGAAATGCAATTTAACTGGTATGTATCTTCAGGTCAGTACTTTTTCTCTAAAAACTCTTGGCACTCTATCCCAAACCTGCCAATCACGCCAACTATGACCCCAGGAGCAAAGGTAGAAAGCATTCGTCTGCACGTCTGCCTTAGCTCTGAGAGCTTCAAACGGTGTTCTGATGTAGAACCTAATCCTCATGCTAAATTGTGGGTTTAGGAGATTGGGGACCATGCCCGACAATGGACTACCTGCCCCTACCTCAGCAACATGGGCTTGCTATGCTCCTCAACAAAGAACCACAGCTTGGAATAAAGTGTCATACTGAGTATCAGTTTAGTACCCGTGTCTGGTGGTCTTTGCCTCATGCTTCATTTAAAATGTAATACACTTCTATATAATTTAACATAGATGACCCTTTACTGAGCATTTTCTATTTACTCCTCTTGTTTTTGTTTTTAATTATTAATTAATTAATTAATTTTTTGCAAGCTGTCTTGTAACCCCCCCCACCCCCCGGCTGGCCTCACTATGTAGCTGAGGAATTGAGGAATGACCTTGAACTCTTGATCCTCCTACCTCCACATCTTGGGTGTTAGGATTATGGGAGGGAGGGGTGTGTGCCAACCCGCCCCCCTCCAGTTTTCTCCAAGCACTGGAAGATAAAAGCACATCTTAATCCCCGAATTTCACAGCTCAGCATTAAGGTCACCACAATATATAACAATGATGTCCAAGTATAAAATAAACATTCTGTTTTATGGGGAAGCTGTTCTATGGATCTACAGACAGATTACTCCTTCTAAACAATAGTCAGTATTTACATTGATGACCCAAGTCTCCAAAATGGAGGAAGCGCTATACAGGTTAATCTCTTCCGGGAAAATGGATTCAGGGCACATTACAAAGGTAAGCTAAATGAGGCTGGATGGACTATTTTTACATCTTTCTCCTAATTCATTGAACTGAATACAATTTGGGGACATTTTTATGATTTGCATAATCTCAGAGCATATATAACAAGGAAAAATTAAAATATTTACAGCTGACCAGCTGCTATACAAATAAAAGCTTTCAACTCTTTGCCTGCATTCAGTATTTGACAGATTTATTTCATGCTTGTTTCTAATTTTCTGTGTGTATGTGCATCTGTGTGTATTTCTGTGTGGGGTATGTGTACCTGAAATTAGGTTTCATTTGATCTAATATGTTGTCAGCACACACACACACACACACACACACACACACACAATTATAAGATGTCAGCATGTCTGAGGAAAATTTGAGATTGTTATCTATTTTCATCCCCTGATGACAGAACAGCAGCCTGAGACTCACAAAAATTCAAGGACTCTCTCAAGGTCATATAACCAGTTTGGCTCAATCACCCAGTTGGTCAGAAGGCTACAATGATAGGTTTCTCCAGGAGTTTGTGTGTGTGTATGAGTGTGTGTGTGTGTGTGTGTGTGTGTGTGTAAGAGAGAGGGGAGAGGGAGATGGAGAGATTGTTATTGCTGTTCATGTTTCAGTGTGCCTGTCTCTTCTCACATGTAGCGATACCCCTGATAAAGAACCAGGCACCCTGAACCAGTGACGTGGCTTAGCAGGTAAAGGCATGACTGTGTAAAACTGACTGTCTGAGTTAAATTTTAAGTCCCACAGAAGAAAGAGAGAAGTGAACATCCTCTGACCTCAACACATGCATCCTGATGTGCACGCGTCTCTATACAAACCTGTGCACACACACAATACACACAATAAAAAATAAAAGTGGATTCCAAAGGAGGAAAAGCAATTCCTATTTACCAGGAAGTCTACGCGTCTTTCAGGTCATGTCCTTATGGCATCGTTTGGATCTGATTAGTTTCTAGAATGCCAGATTATATGTATGTATATATATATATATATATATTTTTTTTTTTTAATGGAGATTTTCACTGACAGAAGTCATCAGCTGGGGTCTATTTGGTCTATAATGGAAAATGAATTTATCCTGAGAGGATGAAAGGATTGGGGCATCTTCTCAGGCAGGTGATGGAGGGCTTTCAGTAAATCGCTCCAGTATGGACATTTGCCTTAGATTCCAGTCACCTTCTAATGCCTGGCTTGGTCATGTGAGAATCAGTGCTTCCTGCTTTGGCTGAGATTTCTCCAACACTCTCTCTTGAACTTCGAATGAGAGAGTAAGGAGTGAGGCTCTTCATTGTTTTGTTTTGAAATGAGGTTTCGTTAAGTAGCCCAGACTGGCCTTGAATTTGTGGCAATCCTCCTGCCTTAGCCTCCAAGAAAAGAGACTCAGTTTTTGCCTTGGTTAAGAATGGAAGAGAGAATGGAGAGCCTGACCTGACTACTTAGGAACATGAGTCCGTATTTCTGTTGCTTTAGTGTGTTTTAGAGAAGTGTAAGTAAATCACTCTAAGAAAACTGAATCACTCCAAGAAGACTCATCTCTAAATGGAACCACACTTTCTGTAGAGGCCAACTTCCCTCTGTGTGTGTATGGGGGGGGGGGAGTGTCATAGCATGAATTAATGAATTAGCTTGTGGGTTTTCTCTTTGGCTGGACAGCGGCACATTTTACCTTAAGTGGTATCTCCCTCACCTGAGGCATCTGCGGATCATTGATGTCCCACTTGAGCTTCATCCCGTAGGAGAGCACAGGGTCTGCAGCCTGACCTCTGTCTGCTGGCATCTGCGGGGGCCTCCGGTACTCTGTAACCAGAATCCTGAAAGGCAAGCAAAAACAAGGAGTGCTCAGGGAGTGCTTTTCTCCAAAAATGAGAAGTAGTGTGAGGGATGTGAGTGAGAGGAGGAGGAGCAGAGAAGGAGGAGGAGAAGGGAGGAGAGAGGGAGGAGACACACAAACACAGACTGGAGAGAGGGAGGGAGGAAGACAGAGACACACACACAGACAGATACACAGAGAGATAGAGAGAAATACAGACACAGACAGAAGAGAGGGAGGGTGACAGGGACAGAGAGACACACAGAGACAGATACACAGAGATAGCAATAGAGAGGGGGAGGAGAGAGAGAGACAGAGTCTCCCTCTGAACACTAGCAGCTTTTTGAAGCAGGTTTGTACAGACCCATCTCTGCTGGGCTACCTCTCTCCAGGACCTGAAGCGCCAAGGCCAGCAGGCTTGTCTGCCTAGCGGGAGCCGGGAAGGGAATGTAGGGGAGAGTTAAAGTGAGCAGCCGAGGGAAGGGAAACCGAAGCTGAGCAGTTGACCCCGGGAACAAGTAGGGCTGTTTCATTTCTGTCGAAAACCTAAAGAGATTGTTCGCCAGCCCCTCTGTTGGCTCTGCAGAGGGCTTAGGTTGAGGCTCTGGAAGCAAAGGTTTCCAGCAAAGTCTCTCCAGAGCTAGATCTGGTGCGCAGTGGGAAATGCGAGGGAGACTGGAGAGTCAGCAGCAGGCATCTCCAGCCTCCACGGTGCTCAGGGTTCTTGCAGGACCTGGCCGGTCCCCAGGTCTGTGGTCTGTGGTTTGGTCAGAGAGTAAGCCTAGCATTCCGGTAAGTTCTACGGGCACACCACAGACCTGACCACTGGAACCATCCCGGGAAGAGAACCTGGAGGTTGGAGCCAGGAGATGGAGAGGAAGGGAGACAAGAAACTGCAGCTGGAGCTGCCCCAACTGAGGCGACCTTTCTCCTTCACCTGCCTCTCTTGACAGCATAGACACTCAAGAAAGCCACAAGTGTCTCTCCCAGGCCACCGCAGGGCAGGATCCCGGACCGTGAAGGGGGGTGGGCTTCCAGAATCTCTTCCTCGTGCGCTCGCTTTGCAGCTGGCGCTCTGCTCTTCCATCAGCAGTCTTGGCTAAAATAAATAAGTACGCAAAAAGCAAATAAATGGATGAGCGGATAAATAAAAAGAAAGGAGCAGATCCCACAGTACGGGTCATTATTAGAGGAGGCGTCCCCAACTCCGGTCTGTTCTGGCGCTGTCACCGACATCTCAGACCCAGCAGGACAGCATAGGTCCGGCTTTGCTTGAGCAGTGCCACGCAAGCACCATCTTCTATGCAAACCCCGCAAGGGCCGGTGCGGTTTACCACCGGGGTTTCTATGCAACAACCCCAGGAAAGAGGATTGGGTCCTGCGTGTTCCTGGGGCTCTACCTCCCCAGTCAGGGGCTTGCGGGAGTGGGGTGGGGTGGGGTGGGTGGAGGGGTGTCATCTCAATAGAAAGTTTGGTTTCACAGCAGCCTACCAGCCTGTTAGGACGGGGAGCGGGAAGAGAAAGGGGTCCTGGAGGGAGGATGGGAGGCGGGGGGGGGGGGGCGCCGTTCCCGAGCTTTCTTCCTGTAGCTCGAGGCTGGGTTGATTTTTATTCTGAATACAGAAAGTCCTAGCAGATGAAAGTGAACGTCTCAACCAAAGTTCTTTTTTAAAACTGCTCTCACAGGGTCATTACTGAAGTGTACCTGGGGACAAAGACGTGTCTCCGTTTTGTTTTGTTTTTCTTTCCACTGAGCCCTCATGTTACTGACTACCAAGGTCCAGGGATACTTCTGCCATTCAGTTGCTTTTTGGTTTGCTTGTCTCTCAAAATTAAAAGTAAGTTAAAACTATTGACCTTTTTAAAAACAAACAAACAAACAAACAAACAAACAAATAAATAAAACCTCCTTAAAAGTGACAGCTTAAGGCAATTTATGCTTTTTGAACGTATTAAAATATATCTCCCAAACCAGCCACCTAACATGCCATCTGAAAATGTATAAAGATCCATCTGTGGCCGTACTGACAGCTTAGTAGGCTCTTTCTCATCTCTACGCTTTTGAAAGATTCCTACAAACACGTGAACGATGGGCCCAGGAATCAGCTTAACAGGTAGAGGGAGGTGATGGGGGATGGGTACCGGGACGGAGGGGAGGAGGGGCGGTGGGGCGGGGACGGGGACGGGGACGGGGGAGGGGGTAGGGTGGTGGGGAGAGGTAGCGGGGTGGGTTGAAGAACTGGGGTAGCGACAGGACTGCTGGAGATTGGTGCTCTCATTTCATCACACAAACAGAAAGCGTAATTTACACGTTCAAGGCAGATGAATTTCTACGCTAAAGGAGAAGAAACAACCCCTTCAACTCAAGCAGGGAGATGGCGCAAGCCTCTAACCCCAGCAGCTGGAAGAAGGATGGAGGAGGAGCAAAGGTTCGAGGCCATCACAGACTACATGAGACCTGGTCTCAGAAAACAAAACCAAGTGACAGAAGCCTTTTAGTTTGTGAAGGATTAAAGCACACACTTCAGGTTGCCCTATAATTGGGTAAAATATGTGAATAAAAGAAGTTAATCAAAATGACAATACAAATAAGTTATGACACCGATGTCTGTCTTGTTGCTTTTAATAACTTTGGAAGGTTGGAACACATTGCCACTATAGGGTTTGGAAGCATAGACTTTCCCCCAAATTCTGAAAATCATGTTTTCTGTCTAATTTTTTTAATATTAATGTTATTCTCTAAAGTGAAATGCATTTACGTTGGATTTTGATCGTTTGATTTTTAGAGATTGTACTCTCGTTCTAACTTCACTTTTTGCATTGACTCAAGACAACTGCATTCGTGTGAGTCTTGATCACCATTGAACATGTAAGAATCTGTTAATTTGAGCAAGGATCAAGCCTTTGAATTTGCAAGGTTTAAGTTAAGATAGGTTAAGTTAATGACAGTGTACTTAGAACATGTTTTCTGGGGGCTGGTATGTTCAGGGCTGTTTAGACAAACTGCCACGCTTGCAAGTTCCGGCGTACTAACAGGGGTTATCATCACACACGCCATGCTTCCTGTTCAAGTAGCAAAGGCCTTCTGTAAGTATCACAGCATAACATACAGTGTCTGGCTGTAATACAAGCGAGGGCTTCTGCAAGGGAGGTTTGGAATGGAGGGTGCATTTCTATCTGTCTATCTATCTATCTATCTATCTATCTATCTATCTATCTATCTACCTATCTTCTAACTGTGTGGGGGTGACAGGGAGGGTGCACACACGCCAGAGAGCTACCTGGAAGTCAGAGAGAAGTTACAGGAACTCCTTCTCTCTCAGTTCTCTCTCTCCACCATCCTGGTCCTGGGGCCGAAGCTCAAGTCCCCAAGTCACTTCAGCACTGTTTGCTTACAAAGAAAACCATTATATATATATATATATATATATATATATATATATATATATATATATACACATATATATACACATATATATACACATGTACATACATATATACATACACACATATATTCATATATATTGTCATGGAGGTCATAGCAGCCCGTCTCTAGCATACACACACTTAGGTTAAACAAAGCGGTTGGAAACTAAGCTAATAGGGGGGAAAAAAGTCCTTCTCTTTTGTGGCTCAAGTCTGCAATCACAGCATCGTGGGAGGCTGAGGCGAGAGTCAGCCCGGGATACACAGCAACACTTAAAAAACAAATATGACCCTTCTCCTTCTGCCTAAAGTACCGTTAAAAGTACCATTATTTTATATGGTACCTTGATAGTAAGGCCGGGTCCAAGTCTGGTTCAGTAGGACCACGCTGCTTTCTGAACACGAATTTTCCCTTCCCAGGGCGCCTTTGTTGGGTCAAGATCCAACAGGGATGTTGGCCTAGTGGCTAGAACTTCATCCCCAGCCTTCTGAGAGTTCGAGGCTAGCCTGGGGTATAGAGTGAGTTCCAGATCAGTCTGGGTGCAGAACGAGACCCTGAACCCAAACCAGATCCGAACCACCGTAGCACTCAGGCTAGCAAATTGGGCAGCAAACGTCACTGGCTTCAGCCACACCGGTGCCAGATCAGAACAGTCCCACAGCTGTGCGCATCCAGGCAAGCAGGCCTGACCCTGCGAGCGAGGTACTCGCGCCCCTTCTATAATCTCATACACCGGAGTCTAGCAGAGTTTTCAGGAGCAGCTGCATCCAGTTTGGGTTCCTGGAGAAGACCGCCTGCATCCAAGAGTCACCTGCCACGCGGATCCTCGCTTTGCTCTCAGGGGGGAGCGGTGCTGCTGCAGCCAAGCCCGTGTCGCGTCGTCGCCTGAAGCCTGGGGATGGCAGCGGTGAGTGACATCAGGGGTGGAGCCGGGCTTCCCTTCCCAGTCTCTGTTTTCCGTGGCGGCCCTCTAGGCTTGCACCCACAGGTGTAGAGGCCCAGCACCGTTTGGCCGACCAGACAAGTCCTTGGGGTACTGGGGTACCTTGGAGCGTGTCAGCCTCTTGGGTTTGCATGGTGCTGGCTGGCAGCTCTCAGGAAAATGGGGAAATAACAGGGATCCTGAGCCTCAGCTCCAAAAAACTCTGCACGAGCTTTCGGGCTCTTTTGAGAGAACTATTGACCACTTGGCTGCAGACCTCTTTATCCCTTCCGGGACGGGGTAACCCAGCCAGCAGCAAAAATAAGTCTAGCTGGAAAGGGTCTTTTATTTCTCCCATTTATACAAGATGATGAGAACAACGTTGCAAAATGCACCGACATTAGGGACTTTGATTAAGTTCCTAAAAACAGAACTGCTAACTTAAGCAGATTTTGTTTTGTTTTGTTTTGCCTTGAGTGAGACAGGGTCTCATTTGCCCAGAGTGGCGTAGATTGCCCACATAGCTGAGGATAATTCTGAACTCTTGATTGACCTCTCAAATGCTGTGATTACATTCGGTACCATCACAGCCGGCTCCAGGGTGACTTAAAAAGAGCCGTTTAGCAGAGGTTTAGCTTTTGCACATTGTACTTTACCATGAAATTGTCGGGGCCAAACGAGACTGGGCGCTGTTTGTAAAGTCAAGAACCATAGACCAGGCAAGGTCCCTTGACGAAAATGTCCTAGCCCTGTGGAAACCTTGTGTGGGCCGTGGATGGTTAAACCTTGAAATTTCACTATAAGCCCTAATGTTAAACTTTATGTCACAAATATAAGGACTCAAGTTTCTTATTACAACTTGTAATACAACTTTTGAACATGGGTTTGAACTTAAACATGAATTTTATTAACACAAAGCCCCTTTCTATGATATAGTGGTCTCCGTAGAGTTTATCCTCTGTAGAACATTCAGCTGTTTTCTCTACTGCTTGTGAGACAATATTTTGTTTTCGAAGACCTTGTCAAAGGGAGTAGCTTTATTTTTATTTTTGTTTTTATTTTATTTTATTTTATTTTAAAAAACACTATCTTAATATACTGAAGTATAGCTCTTCAACAGTTAATGCGTTCTGGGGTTTGTGGGAGGACTCAGTTTTCTTTAATGAGAGTTTGACCATGCTCCAGTGAGTATATGGGCAACACAAATTGGTGGATGGATTTTTTTTTTAGGGGGGGCAGAAGGGCACATGGGTGGGAGGGTGGTCCTGGGAGGAATGGGAAGCAAGCTCAATCAGGGTGCATTGTATGGAATTCCCAAATAATAAAAATATGTTGGCGGGGAAATAAAACCCCCTTACCACCTTATTTCAGCTTATGACAAAAACCTGTTCAAAAGCGCAGCATAAACTTTTATTCTATTTTTAGAATTTGAATTGCGTCTTTGACCTTTATTCTTCTTCTTTAAAGAACATCTTTTTTATTGCACACAGAAAAATAAAAATCCTCCGCAAAAACAGTCGGCTAAGGAAGAAGCTGGGACTAGTTGGGCCCAAAGTGCTTTTCAGGTAATGATAAAGTTTATTTTCTCTATGGGTTATAGTTGGGAGTTCTGGGCGGGTCCCCCGTTGCTTCTCAGGCCTGGAGCAGACACATCGTGGCTTTCATTGTGCTACCCCGTCACAGCCATGTCTGTTCCACTTCACTCCATGCCTCCTTCCAGAACCCTACAGCAAACCGTCCAGTGTCTAGCCTTTATTCCAGGTGAAAGTAGCCAGCACTGAATAAAACTTAGGAATTTCAGAGCCAAACAACAGGTGGTGTGAGAGCCAAACAACAGGTGTGCAGACTTAGCAGAGCAGAGTCATAATGCAGAATCATTGCTGGTGCTTCGTTTAAGGTGGTCCTGCAAGCCCTGCCTATAAGGTGGTACTTAAACCGCTTCTGGGGGAGGGGGGCGTCAGTTTCATTTGAAGAGGCAGTGGTGGGGATCGGAAGTCCAGACATAACTGCGTGCAAAAACCCAAGGCAAGGAAGACCGTCTAGGTATTTTACTCTGGATATTAGCCCCCACCCCTTTATTGTTTTTCTGACCTTTAATGGGTGAGCCTAGGGTCATGGTTGTCAAACTCAAGCAGGGTCGGGGTGTATGTGTGGGAGTCTGAACTCTTAAAAACCCTGAGGAGGTCCAGCTGCTACAGGGGACCCACCAATACCTTGTCTAGAACATTGAAAGTTTCACGTTTTGATACGTGATTGTCATGGACATATTTTTCTATCTTTTTGTCCCCATGTCTAGACCTTTTACCCAAAGTGAAATGACAGAGCAAAAACAACAAAGACATTGGTCTTGAACTACGAAATAGGAAAATATGTCTGTTGACAACCATGCAACAAAACATTAGCGTTTTCATTTCACTTTGAATTATAATTCTTTGCAGTTATTGGTACCCAGGGTCTTCCCATACGAGACAAGTGTTCTACCACTGGGCTGCATCCCCAGAAACAAAGTTACATTTATTCATTTCTTTGCTGGTACTGGATCTTGAACCCCGGTCCTTGAATGTGCTAGATGAGAGCTCTAACCACTGAGCTGTGTCTCCAGCTCCCACAGAATTTTTGTTGAGTACACCGCTAGTTTGAAATGTTGATATAAAACAAACGTGCTTTAGAAAGTTAGTAATCCACCAACCATCTACTTTCTAGCTTCAGTCTCTTCTTACTGCTTCGACTCATCACACAAGATTTTATAAAATAGACCTTTACCTTCAGAAGAAAGAGAGCTATGTGCCTCAGAAATACGACAATCTTCTCCTTCTGCTTTTAGACAGAGACCTATTTAAGGCAAGTGGTTTAATTTGTGTGGGGGACAGAACACCAATGTATGTGCCCCGGCAAGAGTTTTAAAGTTTGTGTGTTCTGATGCTCAGGAGCTGGGTAAAGACAGGTTCCATAATTGTTCCCTGCTGCTGAGATGTATCCAGAGGTTCTTCAGAGATGACCCAAACCGAGAGGAGCCCTTGTTAATTCAGCAGGGACTTACCCAAAAGATAAGTGCACTTTACAGCTTGGGGGCAGCTCTTGGAGCTGAGGGAGCTGCTCAGGGTGGAGCATCTGCCTAAGGGGAGTGAGGTCCGGGAAGGGGAGGTGGAGGGAGGAATAAAATAAAAACTGCTGTGCCAGGGAGGTGGTGGTGCACGCTTTTAATCCCGGCAGAGGGAGGCAGCTCTCTGAGGTTGAGGCCAGCCTGGTCTCCAGAGTAAGTTCCAGGACAGCCAGGGCTACACAGTGAAACCTTGTCTCCAAGAAACAAAATCAAATCAAAAGCTGAAACAGGAAGCTAGAAAGAAAAAGGCCATCCTTGTTGCTTCTGTGTCTACCTGCGTGTTGGGCAGAGCTCAGGCATCATCATTTCTGAAGTTCTGGGGGTCTGAACCCAGACCCCTCGAACATGCAGGCAAATGCTCTATGACTGAGCCATGTTCTCATCCCACAGGCAGGGCATCCTGAGGCTATACAGATCTACACAGTTGTGTAATAACCAATTCTTGCTCTTCACGTGGCATTTTTCTTCTGGGGGAGGGAGGGAATGGGACTTCTGTGGACCAGACCGATCTCAAATTTGCTAGAGGGTGACCTTGAACTTCTGTTCTCCTTACCTATAGCTAAAAATCTAGTATGTCAGGGTGGTGAGTTCTGGGCATAAAACCCTGGGCTTTCTCCATGATACAACTAAGTTACCTTCTAATCTCCCAATTGTATTTTTTAAAAAATTGTGTGTGTGTGTGTGTGTATGTGTATGATGTACATATGTACATATGTGTGTGTATGTGTGCAGGTGTCTATGGCATCTAGAGATGCCAGATCCCCTGGAACTAGAGTCTGTGGGTGGGTGTGAGCTGCCAGATATGAGTGATAGGAACCAAACTCTGGTCTCCTGCAAGAGTAATTAATTGTTCTCTTAATTTCTGAGTCATCTCTAAAGCCCTCTATCCCCCCTCCCCCCACCCCAAGGCAGCGGCCTTGCTATATAGTCCCAGGCTGGCCTTAAACGCATAGAAGTCTTCCTGCTTCGGCTTCCCACATGCTGAGCCCACAGGCCTGAGTTGTGTGCTGCCCAAGCCCAGTTAGTAACCACACACTAGTGATCATTTCAGAGACGCTGGGGAAGGTGAGGTGAGCACAGAGCTGGCTCTCTATTTGAGTAGACCTTCTGAGCATGATCAGACCTAGAAAGCTCATCAAAAACTCCCCCCTTAATACAACCTGTTCCTCATCCTTTCTAAGTCCTCAATCAAAATAAAGAAAGAAAGAAAGAAAAGAAAAGAAAAAAAAAGAAAAAGGAAAAATATTTTTTGCTCATTCAAGTCATGAGAATGACAGCATTTTATGGCTTTTGAAAATTGAGCGCAGGGCAGTGTTGGCATAAGCCTTTAATCCCAGCACTAGGGAGGCAGAGGCAGGGGCAGGGGCAGGGGCATGGGCATATCTCTAGCAGCCTGATCTACAGAATGAGTTCTATAACAGCCAGGGATACACAGTGAAACTCTGTCTCAAAAACAAAGAAACAAACAAAAAATAAAACAACCCCCCCCAGACAAAAAAAAAAACAAAAAAATGAGCCGGGTAGTAATGATGAGTATGTATATTAATGGCAGCTGGCGCAGCGCAGTTTGCAAAACTCTTACTGCTGCTCTCATTTCTAACTATCGAGGCTTCTGCTACTCTGTTTGAAGGGGGCAGGCAAGATGCAGATGCGGTGGTTGAAGGCAATCAGGATAGTAATAGCTCTGTACTATTACCTGGCCATACCTAGCTCTTAGAGGTTACGAAGACCTGGTTGGGCCAAGAAGTTAACCACCATTCTACAATAAACTACCACTCTTTCTGGGACTGCCCCTTCTAGAGAGAAGAGTAGGTTTTCCCAAACTCTTTTCTGGGGTTTTAATTTTATTTAATATCATTGAGTGTATGTTGTGCGTGTAGGGCGTGTGGGTGTGGGTGTGTGCATGTGTTTGTTTTTGTGTTTGTGTGTAAGTGAAGATCAAAAGACAAGTTTTGGGTGTCGGTTCTCTTCTTCCCTCTATGGATTCTTGCAACCAAACTCAGGTCAGGCTTGGTGGCAAGTACTTTTACCTACTTAGCCGTCTTGCCAGCCCCTAACTGGACTTTTAAAGTGTCGCAGAGGCCATTAAAGACTCTGCTTTCACTGGGTCTGATGGCTCAGGTCTGGAATCCTAGCTATTTAGGATTCGAATGCTGGAAAATTATAAACTCTAAGTGATTCTGGGCTGCAGGGTGAGTTCAAGAGAAGAGTGGGCAGCTTGGACTTTGTCTCAAAATAAGAGGCAAAGAATATTCCTCCGATGGGAATTATACTCTTGGGAGTTCTTTATAACTTTCCCCTAATCTATGTTTGCTTTTTTCCAACAGTAAAATAAGATAACAGGTAAAAAGAGAACTAGGAATATACGTCAGTCGTAGAGCATTTGCCTAGCATGACTGGGCCCAATACACAGTACCATTAGGAAACAAAAGGCATGAGTTAATTTTTTATTTGATGTTCCTTAGCTCCCCAGTGCCCTAACTTGTACAGGGAAGAGGAGATGAGCCTCAAAGGAAACGGAGCAGAGAGGTACTACAGACACTTTGGAACCTAAGCTTATTGCTAGGGAGTTGTGAATTAGAATATGCCCCAACTTGATTTTGCTACTTAAGTCTTAAAGGCTATATTAGATACTGCACTTGTTTCTATGGCAAAATGCCTTAAGAAAACTTTGGCTCACAGTTTGAGGGTAGAGTCCATCATGATGGGAGTCACTGCAGAAGGAACACGAAGTAGCTGGTCACCTTGCATTCACAGTCAGGAGACTAATTGAATTGAATGCTGGTACTCAGTTCTTTCTTGCATTCATTGAATCCAGGATGTGCCATTTTCATTCTTTCTGACTTGTTCCTGATGGATGGGAAATCTGTATCATGTGTGGGAAAAGGTCTTCAGGCTGCTGTTTCTTTCGTGGAAATTTTTTTTTGTAAATCTTGTGGAGTGGGTGGTACTCTGACCCATGTGGTTCCATCAGTATTTCTTCTGTGTACATGGTTGCCTGGTTTGACGAAATAAAAACCTATCTGATGAGGAAAACCTATGCCTTGAACGTACTGCTGATTAAAGTTATGGAAGACTTCCTCGAAACTGTACAGGTAAGAATGGAATTTCTTCAGGGGACAGAGCCATCATGGGTGGGCAGGAAGCTAAGTGTTAAAAAAAAAAAACTTTCTGTTTTATGTTTGGGTTAAAAAAAAGTCTCTTTAGAAGTTGGCTTTCTATAAGATGTGAATTTAAAAAGATTGTCACATTTAATGGTTAAGTCATTGTGTGAAAGAGTAGCAGACATTACTATATGCAACGAATGACACAGGAAACTGAGAAGTTATTTGCTTTATATATTTAAGTTTTACCTATTATTTGTTTGACTGTGTAGCGTCGCTCACTGGAACGAAGGGGCTGTGATTCGAACAGGCTTCTAATGGATTTTTTTCTTCTGTCTCCGAGTTCAGTTTTCGTGGGTTAGTATTCATGCATTACTGTCAGACTGTGTGGTTCTTTAAAATAACAGGTTGCACTTTTCCTTTTCCTAGGTCATTTCCAAGCACAGCAGGAAAGGTAAGCATCTGAGCAGTTACCAATTGTCCATCTTCATCAAGAGAATATTTTGGCACAGATGGTTTAAGTGACAGGCAAGGGTGTAGTTTAAACAGGTCTGGATTTATCAACCACTTTACATAGTCCTGCTGTGATGTTGGAAGGCATTTCATTGTGAATCATTGCCTCAGCTTTCACTTACTGGCTCTTGTCTCTGCTCTAGCTGACTCTCCTCTGTACAGATAATGGAAAACCACTTTGTGTCCAGAGCGGCAGGAGTTTAGCTGTCTGGTTTGGATCCAGTTTCTACCTAGGTTCATGTGCTAGAGGCCTGGTCCTACTGTGGGCCTAAAGAGAGGTAGTGAATCTGTAGCCCAGCTCCATGAAGGGATTCATCAGGTCCAGGACTGGACTAGTTCCCACAAGAATGGGTACTAATTACTTAGTTGTAATTACTTACTATAAAGAGAGTTTGGCCGTTGCCTTTTGCTTTCGTGCTCTCTGCTTCCCATAAATCATCTTCCACACTGTGTTCCTGCCATCATGGGTTCTTCCCCAGAAGTCACAGATTTTGCTGCCAAGCTTTTGAGCTCCCAGCACTGTGAGCTAAACCATCCTCTTTTCTTTGTTAAGCGGATCCAGATTCAGGTGTCCGGCTATAGCAACAGACGGTTGTCAAAGACACAAACCAGCAAAAGTTTAGCTACTATTGACTTAAACTGAATAACTTGGAGTAAATCAATGTAACTATTGGTTTACTTTGGGCGCCAATGAAGATAGCTTTGTCTTTCTCGAGTCTGCAAGGTAAAATTTTGAAACAGCGAAGTTTGTTCCATTCAACTCCAGTTTAAGGGTAATTTGATACTTTGGATTATGACATCCTGGAAGCAAAGATGCACTTGGGATGTTTTGAGCATCCCAGAACACATGGCCATCGCACAGGAAAAGGTCATTTTTCTGGGGAGTTACTCAGTTTAAAGAAGCTGTTGGTAAGCCGATGCCACACTTGACAAGGTATGGCAATTGGAAAAGCAGCACCGGGAGCTTTGGTGTATCCTGCATACTTGGGAACAAAAGCCTTTGCATCAGTTAGTTTTCTTAGCAATATGATAAAATGCCTGAATTAAATAATTTACAAAAACAAAGGACTTATTCAGGCTCATAGTTTCAGAGCTGCTTGGTCTATAAACTCGGATCGAGCATCGTGGTAGCTGGGAGCGTGTGGTGGGTGAGGACCACAGGCAGAAAGCAGAGCAAAGTCACAAGAAGAAGGGACAAGGTTATGACTCGGCACCCAAGAATGAAGTTCCTCCCTGGAACCATGATCTGCTTTCTTTAATGGTACCCTGCTTTTTTTTCTGCCTCCTAATTACCCACGTTTGGAGTCCATCAGTACATTATACCATTCACTTAGGCGAGAGGTCTCATGATCTCACTCTGTCTGGGAACGCCCTCACAGACACACCAGGAGTTTTTATTGATCCCAAGCAAACCGACCAACGCAGCTTGTCTTAGTCTGGGGGGGGGGGGGTCCTAAACATTTTCTTTATGACTTTCATTAGCAATAGTGAGTGTCTTTAAGAATGGCTGATAAAAACACGTGATGGTGCCTTCTTTGGCAACGTTTGTAACCCTGCAGAGCACACCTTATCTTAACAGTATATACTTCGCCCACATCCATCCGTGTGAGCTGTCTGTTGAGTCAATAACCGTTGACTTGGTGCGTTTGCGGGCTCTTGCTCTCCTCGTGGCAACTCTACCACTCTGCACAGAGGCACACGTCTGTTAGAGGACCACTGTAGTCAGCTCTAGCTGCCCTAACAGCTCTAGCTGCTTAAACAGGCATTTGTTTGTGCTACTTAATGGGGGGAAGGGTGTGAACCCAAAGATTAGGCTGGCAGCATTTTTGGGTCCTGGGGAGGGCTATCTTCCATTTCTCACTGTGTCCTCATCGTGGAGAGACAGAGCTAGCAGTCTCTCAGACGGGTGACAGCCCTACCACGCAGGCCTCCCACCCTCGTGACCTCATCTAACAGTTGTTTCCCAAAGGCCCTCTCTCAGATATCACACTGGGGTGAATGCTTTAATGTATGAATTGGGAAGAGACGATCCCACACATCTGTAGTAACACCAGTTCATTGCTGGGGCCTCACTCTGACTACCCTGGGGTGAGGGGGTGGGGATAGCTGCTCCATAAGCAGCAAGTTCTCCCATGCTGTCTTTGGCAGTTGACTGGCCCTGCTAGGCTCTGCAGAATGGATGCCCAGCCCTCCCACCTGAGGTAGAAAGGGGTTTCTATTGGAGGACTTCCCACCATCTCCTGCCATTGTAGGATTAATCCCTGCAGTGTATTCAGCCGGGATTTAACCCTGTCATTCCTGTTCCATCGGGGTGGGGGAGGCTCCTTTGCTCTCTGTGCTGCTGCATGGGTTCTGTTTGAACACTTTCCCCTTCACTGGTGATGAGAGTGCTCTGAGTCTATAGAGTTATTCCCAGAGTTCCCTCAATCAACAGTAACCTGATATTACCCTATCTCTTCTTTGGTCTATGTTAATGTTCACATATGGCTGTAAGTTTTATTCACTCTTTTGTTTTTGCTTATATCTATTTTCATTTTTGCCTGGTACTTTCTCATGTAAGTTTTCCGCTGGTTTCTCTCAAAAACTTATTTCCTAATTTGTGCTGTCAGTCCCAGGACAATGAACCAAATGCTTTCTGCTTTTTTTTTTTTTTTTTTTTTTAACAAAGGGTGTTGACATACTTCTCAGAAGTTAGTTTTCTGTGACCCCTCTGTCATCCAAGTCTCTTCTTCTGTGTCACAGAGCCAAAGCCTGTCACTCTAGCTCCTCTCAGAATGAAAGCACGATGCTGGGTGTTTGCTAGCACGTGCAGATAGACGCCTTCAAGTGTCTTGCTGGCCACCTGGGGTTTGCTCGAATCTTTGCATCTAATCTGGTTGATGGCAGGTCCAGCTGAGGTTCTGTTGTTCTCAGGTTATCTGGCTGACAGAAAACTGAAGACAGTATTGTCATACTTCCCTGTTTGGTTTCCTGTAACTGTATGAGTTATACCGGGGTAAAATATATGTACTTTGTGATAAATAGCTTGCATATTGAGTTGATACATCTGAACCTAGCAACATTACCCGCTGGCCCTGACATTCCTTTCTCTATGGCGTTCACTGCTGTTGCCACTTACTGCCTTAATATAAGCCCACAAGTGCAACTGTAAAAGCTAGCTCACTTAGTTTGATATAAGGTAGTATCTCACGGTCTTGTTTCTCTCATGTGGAAGTTTCTGTGTTGTATTAATGAAGACCAACTCATTTGAAGGTTTCTGCTTCCCTGCTCTAGACTTTATAGCATGTTTGTTTGTATATTATGTATAATGGATATGTATGTAATACAGATTCATATAAACCATGTAAACAGGACGGCCCAAGTACCTGCACTGAGAATATTGTCCATCGAGCACAAAAAAGAGGTTTGGCTCAGGTTGCAGCAGTGACGAGGCTACTCACACTTTGCTCAGGTGGCTGTTCCAATCCTTAGTGGGCATTTATGAAACCAAGCGTCCCATATCCTGGGGCTGCTGTGACTAGGAGCCGGCTCTGACCTGTCCCTCACCTGCACTATTGTTCCCTGCACTGGGAACTGCTCTCAGTTTGCCCTTCTTCCTGCTACACAGAAGTCAATTCTGGGTCTTTCCAGCATCCATTTGATGCGTTTACAATTGCGCTTTCAGGGGCAATCGAGATGTTGGATTCCTTCCTACTTAGTGTAGGAAACCTGGTGGCAAAGAGCATTGTGACACCACCCATTCAGCAGAAGGTGAGTTGTAACGACCCACTAAGTTAACAGTTGCTCTGGAAAACCCATGCATGCATTTTTATTTTGTCTCTTTGCCATGAATTCTCATTACAATTCTGAGCAGGCTCTGGAGACTTTGAACTTCATTTTGGCTGCTGTACCCAAGGAAGAGAGAAAACAGCTCTCCTCAGCAGAAGGCCCATGCTGTCTTATGTAAGTTAACTCACACTCCGGTGATGGTATAAGCCCCAAATCCTTGTACTATTCTTTGTGCTCTGGACACTCACCTACTTCATTCCTTCCTTCAGCATGTACCCTGTGCGTTCAGAGTATCTGGCTGGGAAGGACTGAAGACTGAAGGGTAGTCTTTTCCAGGCTCCGCTCTTAACCGTGTGGGGGTTTCTTTTGTTTGCTTGTTTGGAGGTAGTGGTGGTTTTTTCTTTGCGTTCATTAAATTTGCGGGTTAAAATGTTCTCTCAGCTGACTGATTATGTAAATATAAACTCTAGTGTTGACTTATGGAAGGATGTCAATGGGCATACACACATACACAGACACACACACATACGGTGACACACACAGAGAGACACACAAACACACACAGATACCCCCTGCTTCACACACACACTTAGTAGCCTAGTTGTGGCTACATAGATCTTAAAATCTTACATTTTAAAAAAATAATTTATTTAATTTCACGTGTATTAGTATGAAGGTGTCAGATCCCTTGGAACTGCAATCACAGACAGTTGTGAGCTGCCATGTGGTTGCTGGGAATTGAACTGGGGTCCTTTGGAAGTGCAGACAGTGCTCTTAACCACTGAGCCATCTCCCCCGCCCCAAATTCTTACATTTTAAGGCCTTGATATGTTACATTTGAACATTTGGAGATAAGGTTTTACGTAGCACTTCGAATGTGACATTTGAGGATGAGGGTTTAATACAAGATGAAGTGAATTGCAAACATGCACCTGTTTTGAAATTTGAACTTAAACACATATCTATGAGGATGGCTAGCAAGGAGGACATCTTGGTGACCATTCCCGTGGCATGCCATAAGAAGTGTGCCATCACTAGAACCTAGAAGTGCTGCTTGCTGAGCAGGAGTTTGCTGCTGTTCATTGTGCTGATCTATGAGCCATGTGACTTTGAGTCATTCATTAAAAAAGAAATCACTCCTCTTAAGAGACTGTGGCTGAAGTGAGAATTTTTGGTTTCTTTAAAAACACAGAAATGTTAGGGAATGTGTCTTTGTTTTAATGCCAGGTGTGGGATATGGGGCTGCTTCAGCTTGTCCGCAGCAGCTGACTATGATTTGCCTCGTGCTCTAGCAGAGGTGGGATTTTTGCCAGCTGTAGGTAGTTTCAGCAAGTGTATGACATTTAGAATTCTGGGGACTCTTGAGAGGGTCTATGAATGTGAGAGCCCTAAAAGAGGCTGCAGTGGCTGCTGCTTGTCAAATAATCATGCACAAAGAGATGAGAAGAAATTGAATATTCTGATAAGGAAGATCAAACTTGCCTCAACGAAACAGATGCCCCTAATCAGCAGGAAGTAGTTTAATGATAATAAAGACTCTCTCACCCTTCTCCACCTTTATTCCACCCTTTCAACCTCTCCCCCAGTACTAGGTAGGAAAGAAAGAAGGGGAGAAGAGAGAGAGAGTAAGGAACCCATAAAGTAGCAAACACCCAACAGCCCCTCAGCTATTGAACCCTCAATACATTTCAGGGATAGAGCCATAGTATCTGATCATGGTATAGAATCTTTTTGATGTATGTCTGTATTTTCTTTGAAAGTATTTTATTAGCTATTTCTCCTTTAATCATGACTGATAGTTTTACTGGATGTATATTCTTTTAAGTTGGCTATCATCATTTTTTAGTACTTGGTATTCACGGTTCTCTGGATCTCATAGTTTACAATGAGAAATCAGCTGTGTTATTCTGATGGGTTTCCTTTTATGTGTGACTTGCAATTTGTTTCTCAGGCGCTTTGAATATACTTTGTTGTACATACTTAATGTTTTTACTATGATATGCACTGGGAATTTTCTTTTCTGGTCTTGTCTATTTGGTGTGCTGTGTGCTGCTTCTTGTATCTGTATGAGTGTGTCTTTAGTGTGGGGAAGTTTTCTTTAATGATCTTGTTGAAGATCTGGTCTGAGCTGTTGATTTGAGATTCTCCTTCATTGATGCCTATAATTTGAAAGTTTGGTTTTTTTTCATGGTGTTTTGCATTTCTTGTGTTTAAAAAGTTCATCATGTTCCTTGCTTATGTGGTTGAGATCCTCTGTTTTATCTTAAATATATATATTCTTTAAGATCCAATATCCTATCTTCTGCTAGATTCATTCTACTTGTAAGGCTTTTCTTTGAGATTTCCAATTGAGCTATCGTTTTTGTTTGTTTGTTTAGTTTTGTTTTTAAATTCAATCTAAATTTCAGCTTGAGTTCTTCTTCAATGTTTCTGTGTACTGATTGAATTCTGTTGTTGAGTCCTGGATTGTCTTCATAATTTCTGTCAGCCTTATGTTTGTGTTCTCGTGGGCATTGCTCAAGCATTTATTCTCCATAAGTTCTTTCTCTGATTTCTTTCAGCAATTTCTTTGTGTATTTCTTTAAACACCTTGAATTCTTTGAGGCAGTTTATTTATTTATTTTATTTATTTAATTTATGTGTCTTGGATTTCATCTAAGCAACTCTCATTGGCAAGCATGTCTAGGTTTTGGAGAGAAGATGCTGGCCTGATCTTTTATATTGTTGGTATTTCTGGGATGAGATCTGGGCATGTGGCATTCATTTGTTAGTTCTGGGTTTATTATGGATGGGGCAGCTTGCAGGAGAAAAGAAGATGTGGGAGCAGACGTGGAGCTGGTTCAGATTGGAGGCAGCTTGTTCCACACCCACAGCAGGGCAGGGTAGATGTCTGAGTGGAAAAGCTGGATATGACATGGGAAAGCCCTTTGGCTTGATGGGTTGGTAGTGAGGCTACTAGTCCAAGCCGAGAGCTCTCCTGTAAGGAAGGCAGGCAAGGCCAGACTAGGCTGGTGGGTTGTGGGACCCAGGCTAACCCTCATAGATTGTGGAGAAAGCATGGACGAGAAGGTCGGGGATGTTCACCAAGCTAGATCCTGGTAGAGGAAACGGGAAGGTTGGGTATGGAGTGTGGTGAATGGAGGCAGTGCAAATGGTCCTGTGTGGGTAGATGTGCATACAGCAGGTCCTATTGAGAGCCTGGAGCTGGCTACAGAGCTGGAGGAAGCAGTGGGAATAGGTCCAGCTAGTAACGTAGGTCCCTCTGAAAGTCGAGAGGGTGCCTGCTGTTCAGGCGTGGATGGGGTGGCCAGACTAAGCCAGGTCACGGCTATGGGGCCCTACGTAGATATGGTGAGTTTTAGGAAAAGTACGGGGCAGCAAGGGAACTTGCTGGGGTAGGCCTTTGAGGAAGATGTGGATATCTGGCTTTTTAATGTGGCTTTTGTAGCTGGAACTCAGGTCTTCATGCTTGCAAGGTCTGCTCTTTACTGCTTAAGTCATCTCCCCAACCTACAAGACTCCCTTAAATATTCTTCAAAATGGGAGGTTCTTGCCAAGTGTGATGATGTACACCTGCCACGCCAGTCACTCAGGAGGCCGAGACAGGATCATCATGATAAGGCCATCTTGGCTTACATAGTGAAATGCGCTCAAAACATTAAGGGCTATGGATGTAGCTGAATGAAGCACCTGCCTCAGATCCGATTCTTAGCCTCACCCCACCCTGCCCTGCCCTGCCACACACAAAATGACTTTGAGACATTAAGGAGAAATAAACAGCCTGTGTTTTAGTATTTGGTAGACACACTAGAATAGGTGGATACATGCCAGAGAGGAAGCTAAGATCACAGTGTAACAGTGTAAAGGGTAATAGCTTACTTTCGTTTATAAATTAAGCTGGTCCATTGAAGATTGCAATAACCTCATAGGAGAGGCACAGGACCAAAGGTCTCTGCTTCGTCAGCTGTCAAGTTGTATCTAGGTGAAGAGAGAGCAATTAGAAGTGGCTCATGCCTGTAGAGGTTGAGGCAGGAGGATTGCTAGGTTACCCTGAGCTACAGTAAGACCCTGTTTTGAAAAACAAAACAAAATAAAACAAAACAAAACAAACCCACAAAAACCAAAAAACTCCCTACCCAAACTCCAAGAAACCCTAAGAAACCGCAAACTCAGGAAATAGATCATTCAATGGACCTTCAGATCTTAGGAAGCTAAATTCACTTCATGAAAGGGAAGATGGCACCTCAAAAATACTATAACTTCTAGGTGGGGGAGGCTGGAGAGATAGTTTGATAGGTAAGAGCACTGGCTGCTCTTCTGGAGGTCCTGAGTTCAATTCGCAGCAACCACATACTGGTCCCCTTCTAACATGCAGATGCACATGCAGACAGAGCACTCATAAAAATAAAATGAATAATGAATCTTTTTAAAAAGTTTAACAATGCATATCGGGCCAGGCAGTGGTGGCTCATGTCTTTAATCCCAGAGGCAGGCAGATCTCTGAGTTTGAGGCTAGCCTGGTCTACAAAGTGAGTTCTAGGATAGCCAGGTTCCACAGAGAAACCCTGTCTCAAAACAAAACAATCCAAAAACCAAAAATGCAAATGGCGGGCTAAGGAAATGGCTCTGAGGTTAGGAGCTCTGGCTATTCTTCCAGAGGACTTGCATTCTATTCCCAGCACCTGCAGAGTGGTTTGCAGTAGCTGTAACTCCAGTTCAAGGGTATTTTACACCCTCATGTAGACATACATATAGGCAAAACACCAATGCACACAAAATAAAACTAAGAAAACAAAAAAAAATGCATATTGGTCATCAATATGTAAACGTGAAGAAAATTTCCATTGCAAGGTATATATGCACATTGTGGACATTCTGATACTGATTTCAAAAAACGTATATCTTGGTTTTGAACTTATTGCGTTAACAATAATGTTCACCCTAGTAAAATTAACTTATGTAAATGTTTTAGGAAAGAATTGGCAAGGAAGATCTTGACCGTGGGCGGTAAGAAGTGTTTACGATTTTAAATGATTAGAATACCGTACACTAGGAGATGTATGAGAAAGCGTGAGGAAAACATTGTGTTTTATTTGAAGTTTAGAAATTAAGCTTCTTGTCTTTGCTTCTGAGAGATTCTGTCCTTTCGCTATAGCTAACAGACACCCACTGGCCAGTGTCATCACACCTCACTGTGTGGCTACAATTAAAATTCTTTTAAGTAAAAAACATCAGAGTCACAGAGAAAGCCCTCAATGGCCTTGTAGGCATGCCTCTACATCCTCTCTTTGACTCCGATATCTCTTTATTCCCAAACAAAATCTTTATGCGTTTTACCTGTGTAATAATCACAGGATTGCTTTAGTAGATTTAAAAGCCTTTTAGCTTGTCGGTCCAGCTGAATTCACCCCTCTTTTTGCCTTACAATTATTTGAGGTTTGCACTGTGGCCAGAGCCTCATGTGCAGAAAGCCCCTGGGTTTGAGCCCTAGCTGCCTTAAACCAGTGTGGTGACGTATGTCTATACTCCCACTACTTGGGAGATGCAGAAAGGAGAACCAGGAATTCATAGTTATCCTTGGCTATGTAGCAAATTTGAGTCCCATCCTGAACTACAATAAAACCCTGTGTTTTAAAGAGAATTATTTGTCATTTGTGCCTATGATGTAAGTGTAGTAAAATGCTGTAACTTTAGTGAGATTTTATTTTTGTTGTAGAAATATCTTAAGGCTATTTGATCTGATTTGATATTTTGATATGCCTTAAATATAAAACCTAAAAATATGTGTACACACACATATATGTATGTACTGAAAAATATTCCCATCACTCAGAAATAGTATTTTAAAGATGTTGCCCAGATGAAACTTCTTCAGATTTTCCCCCTGGCAATTATTAAGTATAGTTTGGATGGTCCTTATGGCTCTGAGGGGATCTTGTTGCATTTTACCAAGTGACTTGCTTGACACTAGACCAAATGCTGACTTTAAGATGTCTTGCTTTTTATGGCTTTGTGCCCAGAATTTACCTATGTCTGCTGTGTTTTGAACCTCCAGATTATAGCCAGCAGGTTGCTCTAATAAAGACGTTGTGTAGAATGACCGTTGAAACAGAGAAGAGGAATGAACTTGCAAATCAGTGGTTTGAGGATCCACTCCTGGCTAAAGCTTTCAAAGAAGTTAATCATTTGTACTTTGACACGGTGAGAATTCTGGTCCTCTGCTCTGTCAGATTCAGTTGAGGATCCTCTCAGAATCCGGTTTTAGGCTCAGGAGAAGGTTTAGTTTTTTTAAAGAGGAATAATTTTTTTCATTGTGTGTGAGTGTGTGTGTGTGTGTGTGTGTGTGTAAGAAGGAGTATGTGTGTGAGCACAAGTGCTTTTGGAAGCCAGGAGATGGTGTTGTGTTCCCTGCCAGCAGCTGTGAGCTGCCTCACATGGGTGCTGGGAGCCACGCTAGGATCATCTGTAGTATCAGCATATGTTGCTAACCACTGAGCCATCTCGCCAGTCCCCTCGCTGTTTAAGATATGATCAGATGATTTGGTTTACCCTGATCAGTGAAATAACTCAAAGGTGGCGTAAACAAAAATCTGGGGGACATGTGAGGAGACGCCTGTAGGGTTCTTTAGAGGCAATCGGCCCAGGAGACGAACTGAGAATTTGATGCGTTCAGGCAAGGCAAACAGTTGGGAACAGGCAGAGATTTTGAACGGTCCTCGAAGAGGAGGAATACAATTGGAGAGTAAAGAGAAAAGAATTAGGGACCTGAAGAGAGAACCTGTGACCATGGCAGGTGGCTGGCTGTGGCATTTGTGCTCTAGTGATGTGAGGACCATGGAGTGAGTGTTTGCAGTGTGTGTGTGAGTGTGTGTGTTTCTGCAGTCACGTGATTGTTCTCAAGGAACACAAAAACAGTACTTGGCTTTGTTGTGTCTCTGCCGTCCTCCTGTAATTGCTAAATGCATTTTCTTTATTCTTTCCCAAATACCTTTAAATCAGGGTTGGGTTCTCAGGAAAAGGTAAAATTCATTTTTAAGTCCTCATTTTCATGAAGCACCCTAATAAAAACCATTGTGTAATCAGGATTATTATGTGATTCACAGTGTACTAAATCTGAACCTTCACATTGTGCGTCTTAGTCGCCGGGACCAGCCTAGGCACAGAAAAGGTTTAGCCAGGTGTAGTATGTTCTAACTAAAAAGGTCATGACTCCCGGGGGGCTTTTGGTTTTTAATTTCACATTAAATAACAGTCCCACCCACCTGACTTAGGTCATGTTTGCATACATTTAGATGAGATCACGGACTGGTGAAGTCTTAGTATTTCATCTGTGAAATGGGAATAAATCTACCTTAAAACGAGGAGTTTCTTAGTTAGGGTTACTATTGTCGTACTGAAACACCATGACCGAAAAGCAACTTGGGCAAGAAAGAAAGGGTATATTTGGCTTAACTATCCTGATTCACAGCCCAGTGATGGGAGCCAAAGCAGGAACGCAAACTCAGTAGGAACCTGGAAGCAGACGCTGGTGCAGAGACCATGGAAGGGTGCTGCTTACTGGATTGCTCCTCCTGGCTTACTCAAGCCTATCTTCATAGAGCACATGGTACCAGCAGTCCAGGATTAGCACCCCTCAAAATGCGCCGAGTCCTCCCACATCATTTGCTAATGAAGAAAATGCCCAGCAGGCTTGCCTACAAAATATTTGGGGGACATGTGGGAAGATAAATATGGGGTTTCCTTAGAGGGAATGGAACTAGGGAGACAAACTGTGGATTTGATGGGTTTTATGCAGCCAATTTCCCAACTGAGGTTCTCTCATCTAAGATGACTCCAGCTTATGCCAACTTGATATAAAACTAGCTAGCACAAGGAGAATTCATTGAGAGAGACCAAGAGTGCCTGGGATGATGTGGGCAACCAGACGCCCCTCATCTGCCTCTGTGGATGATGAAAATAGAGTATCTTGTTTCCTAAATAGTCTCTTAGTGTACACGGCTTGTGTAGGGCTTAGGTTAGGGTGGCGTATGCAAGATGGGTTAGTCAAATACTCATCTCTAAGTGATCAGGGAAATCTATTTTTCTTGCTCAGTCTTTTGCCCAAGTAAATCTGTCATGAATTTGACTTTTGATCCCTAAGTATTCTTTAGCTGAGTAGGCAATGCTAGCTGTTTAAGGAACCAGCATGTCTACAGCCTTCTCTTTGGGTACAAACCATTGCTAACATAAAGTAGCGAATCTTTGTAAAGATTTAAGGTTGCCTAGGAAGATGGTGAAAACAGTGTGCTTCTAAATTTAAGACTGGTATTGCTTATTTTAGGACTGTCGGCTGTTTCTCAATTTCCTGAATGACAGGCTCGGTGACCAGAGAAGGTAAATTGTGTCTTTGGGATTATTTTATTGGATAGTTATAATCTGATATTATCCAATATCTCTCTGTCTATCTATCTATCTATCTATCTATCTATCTATCTATCTATCTATCTATCTATTTATCTATCTACCTATCTACCTACCTATCCACCTATCTATCTATGTCTATATATTGTTTTTTTTGTTTTTTTTTTTTGTTTTTTTGTTTTTTTTGAGGCAGGGGTTCTCTGTGTAACCTTGGCTGTCCTGGGCTTGCTTTGTAGACCAGGTTGACCTCGAATTTACAGAGATCCTTCTGCCTCTGTCACCCTGAGGTCTGGGATTAAAGGCATGTGCCACCACACCCAGCTTGTTCAATATTTTAAAAGAATGCCTAGGATCTTTTTTTTATTTTAAGAGCAAATACAATCAACATTTTACTGATGGAACTAGGTGGTTAATTGATCAGAAATCTAGGAAGAGCCTGATATGGTGGCTCACATCTGTAATCCTAGTACATGAGAGTTTGACATGAGTGTTTTTTGATTGTTTCCTTTGCTGCTTTTTCTTTTTCAAGTTTATTTTATGTGTTAAAGTGTTTCACCTCTATGTATATCAGCTATGTGCCTGGAGGCCATTGACCTCCGGAACTGGAGTTATAGACGGTTGTGAGCTCCCATGTGGGTGTTGGGAACTGAACCCAGGTCCTCTCCAAGAACAGCTGGTACTCTCAACCACTGTCATCTCTCCAATCCTGAGAGTTCCTGGATTTCTTGAAGAGTGCTTTTGAAAAGACTAAAGGTGCCTGAGGGATGGGCATATCACAAACACATAAGTCCTTGCTGAAATGATCCTTGCTAAATTTTGTTCTTTAGGAATCGGATCAACTGATTTTTTTTTTTTCCTGAAATGAGTTTTAATAATTCTGACTTTAGAAGCTGCCTGCTGGAGAGGTGGTGTCTCCCCCCAGTGGATATGGATTTGCATGGTTGAAGCCCTCACATATCCTGTAGATAGGAGACTTCCTAGCATGGCATAGTTCTGAAAACTCATTGTGAGACATCTGCCGGTCATTTTGATTGCTTTTAATTGTGAGGTGTTTTGCAGGGTCCACTCATTTCCATGCTTGGCTGCTTTGGCTGGTCCTCATCAGGTAGATCTGCACGCTTGTGTCTGTCTGTCTGTCTCTATGTCCCTCTCTAAGGAGTCAAAGGATGGTGTGAAATGAAGCACTATCAGGTTTACACATTTAGGTTAGACTTCTGTTGCTAGTGTTCTGAGGGGCTGTTTATTTACTTGTGTGTGTGTGTTTGTGTGTGTGCGTGCACGCACTTGTACGTGTGTTTTCATGGGTACATGTGCATGCATGTAGATGTTAGAATAACCCTGGGTGTCATTTCTTAGGTACTGGGCACAGAGGAGCCTTTTTAAAAGGGTGCTAGCTGCTTTTAGTGACCTTACCTTCAAGCTTACCAGCTCATGTCATAACCAGGATGCACTCCAGAAAGCTCATAAGGGCCTGTGGTTGTACGGGAGACGAGATTGCAGAGTCCAGACTGTTCACAGGAAACATTCATGATTAAACTGGAAGGGCAAGTCAAGGGCCTCTCCGTTTTCTCCTTCTAGCTGATGCTTTCCCTCTTTTTATAGCAACTTTCCTTTCTCTGCGCTTTGCGCTCCGTAGCACAAGGCGCATTGTTTCAAGCCGTCTTTCTGGACTGTGCGCTGTTGTAGCTCACTGTGACACCAGTGTATGCGTTCTAGCTTCCCTTCTACCTCGTACTTTGGAGTCTAAGGCTAGCTAGTTTCTTCCTCCTGCCGTCTTTGGGTTCTAGAAGAACAAGGCTCTCTATGTAAAAGGGCTCCAACTAAGAGCATCACAATTTCCAGGTGAAGTACACAGATTTACCTACAATCACGGCACACTTAAGACCTCTTGAATATCTTCATCAATAATTTTTTTTGTCATGGGTTCAGAGACCTATTCACAGCTCCTGGGGCTGAGCTTTTCTGCTGAAGACCAGCTTCGGGGTAGACAGAGGTGGTGCATGTAGAACTGGTAACTGGTCACTCTTCATACTTTTCTCTGAGAGTTCAAAGCTTGATTCCCTGCTGCTTGTAGACAGCAAAGAAAAAGAAAAAAAATAGGGAAAAGAATAACACACACACATTCATACACACACATTTGATGGACAATGCAAGATTAGCTCCAATAATTCCACACATATATACATAAACACATTCACACATTGTGTGGATAGAGCAAACTTCAAAGAGAGAGCTCCAACCGGCTTTACACACACACACACACACACACACACACACACACACACACACACACA